CCCCCCCCCCCACCACCCCCTACCACCTTTTTTTACCAAATCTATGTATCAATGCAACACCCTATATTTCATCCATGAACACAACTGCCCCCAGATTCCTTATGCAGTTAACATCAAGAGAAATCGAATTTAATGTGAATAATATCAACGTCATGAAAAACCCTGGTGATTGGAATAAAAAAAAAAAGTACTGAATTTTCAAACCGAAATTAGTTATCATCCAAGTAAAAAAATACTTCACAAATAACATGATGAATTTTCATACAGAAATTTGTTATCATCAAAGTCAAAAATACTTCATATGATGAACATGATATTTAAAAGCATGTAAGTTAAATCTCAAGATGTGAGTAATTTATCTTATAAATTATTACATGAAATTTAGACAACTATTATAAGGATAGTAAACTGAATTTTGTTACATTTCTAACACATGCTAATAGTAAATAATATAAACCATAAAAACACCAGTCAAGTCAACGAATCATAAATATCATAATCACTACTAAAGTTACAGACAAGTCTAGGTAACAAAACAACAAATGGTATCAGAGAGAGTTGTCATGATCAATTTGATCACACATCTGCTCTACATCAAACCAGAAAAGAAGTGAAGTTCGAGCATAAATCACTCTGACACGTTGCAAAGCCAAATCCCCACTTGTTAAAACAGCTTTGGCACCACCTTCAATGCGGGTTTGAGAAACAAATACACCATCGCCATTGCTCTTGGTTTGTGAAGGAAGCACCTTGCTGCTACTGGCAGTGCTCACAATGGGACATGAGAGATAATCCAGAGGATTGGATTCACACTGCAGTATGCATCCATCTATCGTTAGCCTTCCCTTTCTATGAAGCAAGCAGCAACCAAGCTCAGCCCTCACAGTTAAGTTTGCTAATTTGCATGTGGATAGCAACTCTAATGCACTGTTCAGACAAAACAAAAACAAAATACCAAGTCTTGCTGAAGATGAAATATTTGGTGGTACATATCAAGGGAACTAATTAACATCTACAAAGATTGTAATCATTAGTACTTTGGTCTACGACTTTGCAAAATCTGTGTTTGGTATCAATTCCAACTTAATGCATGTTTGGTTCTACATCTATGATCAACGTTTAAAAAAGATTCACATCAAAATTGATGTAAAAGCAACTAATTGTTACTTTAACTGATTCACATCTAACCAAAATTAATGTGAATCCAAACATGCTCTTAACCCATGTTCAACGCCAATCCAACACTCATATTTAGGGGTAGGTATACAGACCCGTCCGTCCCATCCCATTTAAGGTCTGACTCGTGAAAAAACAAGTTCAATTCGCAAAATAAATGGACTTTTTTTCAAGTCCATATCTAGCCCACCAAAACTTGCAAATAAATGGACCAGTCTATGGGTCTAAATAATTATTTGAAAAAATTATTTTTTAAAAATAAAAAATGCATAAAATTAGAAGAAAAAATCTTTTTATTTTTAAGTTAAAATCCATCACACTAAAATTTACCAACATTTAGAATTGTCTTAAACATTAAATATTAAAATGTTAAGACTAAAAATATTACCATTACTTATATAATAGTATCAATGTTAAGGCTAAAAATATTACCATTACTTATATAATAGTATCAAACTTTTAATAATAAAAACATCAAAATATCTTAAAAATAATTCAAATGGAAAATACACATCAACTAAACATAGTTTTAATGTCATAATAATTTAAAAAAATTTAAATACAGTACACAACCAAATATTAAAGACTTAATATCTAAAAAATAATTAGTGAGGTCTGCAGGCTACCCCGCAAGCCCACATATTAAGTCTGTCAAGTCCGCGGCCTTCACGGACCTAACTTGAAAATTGATCATTATTATATGGATTTGAAAAGAAAAAAAGGATCCGTTATTCGCAAGGTTCACGGGCTTAACGGACTAGCCTGCAAACCTGGGTCCATCTACCCACCCCTAATCACATTGCTTCTATGTTTATGTATTGGAAAGTGTAAAACTTTCATTCAAAGTCAATCAAATAGGTTTTCATACACGCTCTAACTTGGCAAAATGTGATTCACTTTAATCCTTAACTTTGCAAAATGTCGGAGGAAAATTTAATAATCAAGGACAAAAGTCAATGACATTTTGTAAAATTAGGGACTAAAAATAAAGGTTTGGTGGGATCAAGGACTAGCGAAATAACGCTTAGAATCTCAAGGACTACAGTGAGAGTTCATTCCTTTTCCAATAGTCCTTTCCAAGCTACTGGATAATGGTTTGAGATGGCAACAGATGCGCTATTATGCTCCATTCTGTTTGGCCAAGAATCTTATCCATAAACAGAAGCATGGAGGTGGTTCCTAGCTACCACTTCACAAGAGCACTGCACAAAATCTAAAGGTAAGGAATGCAAACCTGTCTGAGCCTCGAGAACAAATAAGTGTAGTGTCATCTGGAAGTTCACCTGCACCAATCTGAACAAACAACATTGATTTTGGAAAACCAAAAATGGAGATATTTTATATCATTAACATTTAATGTTTCCTCAACAATTAGAATAACAAGAAGGTAGTACAACCACCAATTATTGTTGATGAATTAATGATAAGGAATTTAGAAGTGACATGAAACCAATAGAAGTCTATTTGTTTAGTGTTTTTTTAATATTCTTTAATGCAGTTCTGAAAAATAAGTTTTAGAAAACAAAAACAAGTAAACAATCTTGTTTAGAAAACTTGATTTAGCACACTATTTTCCCTCGGCTAAAACTCAAAGTCTGAGCATTGTCTTCATGGGCAGAGCACTTCCAAACATGCCATCAGCCTCTATCACTTCAGGAATGACGATTGCTCATTCTCTCCATTTGACATGGTTCAGTTGTGACTGCAGTCGCATCTGTGTTTGAGCAAATTCTTCTTGTTGGAATAGGAGTCTGAGCATTTCTTGCTGTGCTTCTGTTCTGATTATATTTCTAATGTTCTTGTAGCCAATTTGGTCTCTTAATCGCTTCAATTTGTGGTTCTGTTTTACCCATCACTCTGATGAAAACAACTCCTCATCTAGTGTTCACTATTGTAACCAATCGACAACATATAAATTTATGAAATCTATTTATTTGCAGCAGCACTAGTTGGCCTAAACAAACTGGGAACCTTATTGTCATTATATATATCTGTGTGTGTGTGTGTGTGTGAAAGAAAAAAGTAATTGAGACAAAGGAGAAAAAAATAAGAGAGATTGGAGGATGAGAAATCTTCCTTAGTCCTCAGCAAAAATACAAAACAAAAAACAACTAAGAAAAGAGAAAATTGGATGGGTTGCTGGCTAAAACTGGATGAGATTCAAAAGTATGACTTAAGATAGATTAATCTAATAAATAGTTTCTTACACACACACACAAGTTGCATAACTCACTAAGCAAAGCGGTTTCTTTATTTGAATGTTTGCGACACGATGACTTCCACCAGCAGCTATTAAAATTGTATCACCTGGTCTGTAACCAAGAAAGTGACAGTTAGAATCCAGAGCCTGAAGAAACATCTAAAATCATGCACAAATAGCATTAATTTTACATGCCTTGAAGCAGCAACAGCGGTTTCAATGTTGGGGAAAACACCGGGTTCAGATATGTCTTTGACTGATCGATCCACCCGAAGCCACAACCGAGGATGACATGCCAAGTAATTCCATCTGTGGCAAACGACGGCGGTATTAAAGCGATCTGCAAACTCAATAGTAGCTTTGTGATAAAATATGCTCCCCATTATGCTATTATTTCTTCTTTTATGGGAAGAAAACTAATTGAAGAGGGGATCCAAGTCTAATTACAAAGAGAGCGAGGATAAATCATCCTCTAAACCAAGCTAAAAGTAATAGACAAAACAGAAGAGCAAGTAAAAAGAAAACTAAAAATGCAGCAGGGTTGTCTCCTTCTCAATCTCTTTGCAAATAATGATGTCATATCCTTGAAACAAGTATGGACTGAACAACAAAGAAAGAAGCTAAAAACACAAATTTGTGCCAAAGTAGATTTGTCAGCAAGGAAACACACTCAAACATTAGGGAATTCAGCACCAAATCACATATGCATGGCCAATTTACTTGTTAAATAGTTATAAAAAATTCACACACGCTAACTCATTGTCAGGAAACCATGGATACATAACAATCATGTCAACGAGGATGGTAAAGATTAAGTTGTTGAATTTACTCCACATGCTTCACTAAACTTGTATACTCACACGATGAGAGAAAACATGAACATATTTGTGTATATTCATTTCACAAATATCCATCTTTAGGCCCCAAATTTGTCATAATAACCCACTACACACTTGGTTCAAGCCTCAAATTTGAAGCTTTTCATTCTCATAACACAACCAAATGCTAAATACCAATTAGTCACAATCCCTACAAATAGAGGGAAAATCAAAACAAAACCTAGTTCATGTTGCCAATTACCTGCCTAAAAGCATGCTAAGCACTATAAATCCCACAAAGACACATCATAGTACCAAAATTAAACGAAACAAAAACATGGGTGTTGGTCAATTAGGCAAAAAGATTGAGTTTTAGAGGGTGAAAAAGTTTATACCTGGAATAGGTGGGAGGAAGCTGAAGATGTGCATAAGACAACCATCATCGAGATTGTTGATGTGAGAAGAAGAACAAGAAGAAGAAGAAGAGGGTTTTGTTCTTCGGGACCTCTTCAAGTGTTGTTTCTGTGGTTGGTCTTCCATCATTACCTTCGTGTTCTTCTGGGAACCAACTTCATGCCCCTCCTCCGCCTTAAGGCCCTGTTTGGCTTAAATGTATCAAACGCACATGATATTTTCGTTTTTTTTTTTATTTTTTTTCTGTTCGGTTCCGTAATCGGTCACGTGTACAAGGATGTTTTACAATCTAACCGGTCCAACTCAAACACTTCACTTCGGATTTTTAATTTATTTCGAATAGAAATGAACTCAACCCAATTTTATTTTTGGACTAGATATCATATTTGAATATTAATAAAAATCTCAATTTCCGACAACTCAAATAATTTATATATTTTAAATATATATATATATATATATATATATATATTGATTACTAAAAGGCAATGATCATAATAAAATGTAAAATATAAATTTATAGTTAGCTTAAAAATATGGTTTAAATATGATTTTGCTATCTATAATATACTATATTTTTTTACTTTGATCCTAATCGTAAAATTATTATTTTTTAAATATTTATTGTAAAATTTACTGTATTTACTTATTTTGTTCCTTGTTATTTTATTTTGGTCCTTAAAATGTATCTATTTTTCATTTTATTCCTTAAAAGTTTTTGTTTATTCTTAGTTTTTTTTATAGTTTTTTCATTTTGAATTATTCACTTTAAAAAATAATTAGTAGTGACTTATTCACATATTACAAAGAGAAAAAAAGGAAAATATGAGTATATTATAAGGATTATAAAATAAAACTAAAATAAAATAAGATAAAAAATAAAAATAAAAATTTTATAAACATCATTTTAAAAACAATAATTTTATAAGGACTAAAATGAAAAAGATAATATATTAGAGGGATCAAAACTATATTTAAACATTAAAATGTCAATTATTTTCTCAATTTACATTTTAAGTAAGATTTAGCAATTAAAGAAAAATAAAAAATCTTATTAACTATAAAAGTAATTATAAAAGGATCAAGTCTTCAAATAACAAAAAGAGACAAGATAGAAAAAGAACAGTTGTAAATAAAAGAGAAAAACATTTACTGAGAAGTGCATATTGAGAAACACATTGAGTCACAAAAAGTTAAAGTACTATAAAGAAGTTCTTCATTGTAAATCTTGTACATAGTTCTTTGTAAACTATTTGTGCATAAGTTTCATGGCATCACGTCTAAAAGAGATGAAGCTATCTTTGTAATGCTTTTCAAATTCATTTGTAAGGGTTGATCTTGGAGAGGTTTTCTCCAAAAAAATACTTGGTGTTTGAGCTTGAAGAGGCTTGTTCAAAAGAATACTTGGGGCTAAATTTGGAGAGGGTGTTGAAAAAATACTTGGATAGTTGCTTGAAGAGGCAAGTCAAAGACTACTTAGGTTGAGCCAAAAGTGATTTGTTGAAAGAATACTTGTATCTTGAAAAAGATATTGAAACTCAATCTGGTTAGATTGAAAATTGGACAGAATCTTTGTGTTTAAGACAAACCAATATAAAATATCTATGCTCTTTCATCTGTTACTTTCCAATACTTCGTATGTTAAAGTTTTTACTACTTCACTACACTTCAAAAGCGTGAATTTTTTATAAACATTATCCAACCCTCTTCTAGTGTGTTTCTTTTTCTCTAACAAATAATCTAATGGTGATATACGATATCATGATAACACATGTGACACTAATCTAGACAGATAATATGGTGTTGATGTGGCAAGAAAATTTATGATATATAAAATGATAAAAGTGGTTGAAAATATTATGAACCGTTTTATCTTTACTTTTTATTTCACACTTAAATTGTTAAGCCATTTCATTTACTTGAAGTAAAGTACGATTATTATATTATATATAATTGTACGATTTTATTGTATTTTAAAATTCTTCTTACAATACTTCCTTTTTTGTTGCAAAAGATTAAACTCAACTTTACATAATTTTTATAAAAAAAAAAAATCTATGGGGGTGTTGTGGTGGTATGAGAGAAAATAACAAACTTAAATTATTAAGCCATTTCATTTACTTGAAGTAAAGTACGATTATTATATTATATATAATTGTACGATTTTATTGTATTTTAAAATTCTTCTTACAATACTTCCTTTTTTGTTGCAAAAGATTAAACTCAACTTTACATAATTTTTATAAAAAAAAAAAAACTATGGGGGTGTTGTGGTGGTATGAGAGAAAATAACAAACTTAAATTATTAAGCCATTTCATTTACTTGAAGTAAAGTACGATTATTATATTATATATAATTGTACGATTTTATTGTATTTTAAAATTCTTCTTACAATACTTCCTTTTTTGTTGCAAAAGATTAAACTCAACTTTACATAATTTTTATATAAAAAAAAAAATCTATGGGGGTGTTGTGGTGGTATGAGAGAAAATAACAAAGCTAGTGAAGGAGTTTTCTTAAGTGGATTGTGTTGAAGGGAAATGAGAAAGGGAGTATAAAAGGAGTGGTTTTGGGGATAAAGATATAAGGGAAATGAGAAAAGAAGGTGGGGGTTGGAGTTACAAAAGTGTTTAAGGAAGATAATTTAGCGGTCTAAAAAAATATTATTTATTTATTTTATGTTTTGAAAATAGTTTTCATTTTTTAATTTACAAGATTTAAAAATATGTTTATTTTGAGAACTTATTTTCTATTTTTTTTAAAATAAAATATCTTAATTATTGTAGTGGTAACTGTGTGGTGGCGATAACACTGACAACGATGATGGTAGATGTAACATCTTAAGTTTTTGAAAATAACAAAATAATATTTTAATTAATTAAATGTGTTTTATAAAATAATATATAAGTCTTTTAAATAATTAAGAGTACTTTAATTTAATTAAGGAAAGTTTGTGAAATTATAATAATGTTTATTATATAAATTATTAGGAGAGATAAGTATTTTACTATGTTGTTTTAATTAGTTTAAAGGGGAGAGAAATTTAATTGGGATTAATTTATTAATTCAACGAGTTAAGTGTGAGTTAAAAATTTAAAAGGGAATAAGTGAATTAATTTCATTTTACGCTTCTCATCCTATGCTCTTCTATTTTTTTTTTCTTTAAAAACTAAAGAATTTCAAGAGGAGAATACAAAGGTCACAAAGTATATTATGGATATTTTTATCATTCGTCAAGCACTCATAAAGGTAAGGGGAGTGAGTGTTTTTGCTCTAGGATATGGGTTAATTGTTGGGTAGCGTAATTGACCCTCAATCTCATTGATCGAGTTTCTATGACTTGCATGGTGACTTTGGGAGACCTTTACTTTTACTTGCATTTTGAGTGATTGTTTGATCATATGATTCTATGGCTTCCTATTGTTGTTAATTGTGTCATGTTTGACATGCTCTAATAATGATAAATTGACGTCTAAAAAATTGTGGAAACCTTTAAATCTTATAGGAAACACAAGTTATAAACAAGTTGGAGATTGGTTAATTTGGACGATGTCTGTAGAATTGATTTATGTTTTAACTAATTGATGGTATAAAAGGGTAGTTTTAGACTTTTAGGCAATGTTTTGGTAACTTATGCAATTATCACACCTTCTACGGGTGTTGACAAATTCATATTATTGCATCAGGTACTAGTTGAGTGTCGTCGAGTGCAAGAGCAATAAAGAGTATAGTGACCTATATGATTAAAAACTAAAAAATAACATACAAAATATATTTATTTGTATTTATTTAACAATTAATTAATATTTATTTTGTTAATAAATTTTATTTACATGTTTTTTTATAGTTTTTTTTTATCATCATCAAATGTTATGTTACTAAATGTTAAATCACTTGAGTACAAATAAATGACTTATAAATGTCAATTTAACAAGAGACCAAAATTTTGTATTTTTTTAAAATTAGAAAAACTAAATATCTATATTTTAAAATAAATAAATAAAATTACAAATTGATAAAATATAGGATAAAAATATAATTCAGTGAAACTAGAAAAAATAAATCAATTAGAAATCTATACATTCTGATCATATTAAATATTGAAGGGGGAAAAACTTTGTCCAAAAAATTGAAACAAAAGAACTCAAAGTCTAAACAAGGCTATAATTGTAGAAACCATTTTCACCCTATTTATTTTTCTTTATATTTCTACATCACATATTATATCTAACAATATCTCCGTAATTATCTGTCTCTCCTTTACCCCAATTCACTCATATAAACGTGAAACTTATTTCATGTAAATAACATTGAAAAGTAACACCTTTATCATCAAGTGAAAGTGATGACCCTCAAAAAGTAAAAAAGCTTTTTTCTTCTTCTTATTTTAACAGATATTTAGTAATTAGAACCACCGATCTATGTAAATTTCACTCTTTAATGAGTATTATTTATAACTTTAAGATTTATATTAAATTTCAACTATTGACACTTCTCTTAGTGATAAATTTTTAAAACTGTCATTTGTTGCCTGTTTTTAAATTAGAAGGGAATTAAATTGACACCTAAAAAGAGGTGTCTACACCTTAAAAAGTTAAAAATAAAAAATAAAAAATAATTTATATATATATAATTGATTTTGTGTGTGAGAAGAAGAAATATGAATCACTCATGCGATAAAAAAGGAAAAATAGAAGTGTCAACGACATGTTTCATTTTTAAGTAGTCAAAAGTCTACTCAAAATTTGAAACATCATAGGTAATACAAGTGTTACTGGACACAGCGGTAAGTAACATAAGATTCAATCAGCTGAGAACTGTGAGTGACCTTAAGGACTTGACCTTTCTTGAGCCCATAATAGCGAGCTATGGGATCAGTTTTTAACATGCCAGGGAGCTGAAAAAAAAAAAAACAGAAAAGAAAATTAAAGAAAATAAATCTATTTAATTCAGTTAAATAGGGAATGAGCCAAAAGAACAATACGTTACCTGATTATCTTCCACCAAATTATACTTGGTGAACAGCTCTTTCTTCTCATCATCAGTAAGTATCTCATACTTTGGCTGCATCACATGTTTTGTAATATTGACCAGCAAATCAGTGATCTAGACACAGTCATAGAAACATATGGTGTTACAGTTACAGAACAAAAACCGTTCCATATAACAGCAAATTAAATACATTATCATGCAAAAATGGACTACTCTTATCATTTGATATCTCATTTTTTATAAAACAAAACTTACAATCATTTCAAAATATATTAAAATATAAATTAACCTTGAATTATTATATAATTTTAACAAAATTTGATATAGACATTCAAGATAATATGAAACTATAACTCAATATACCGTTTTGAATGCTTCTCTCTCTATATATATATATAATTGGTTAAAGACTGATCTTTAAATGCAAGAATTCGACGCATATAATAGAAGAAAACCTAAAGAATTCGTTAAAAACTGAATAACATTAGTGAAACTTGGTATTACTCTTTTTGACATGTTCTTACGTAATCGAGTAATGGCAATGGCACTATGAGGTTTGTGAAATGTGAAGAAAGGCAACAAGAAGAAACATTATTTGCCTCTCCAGGTTACGAAAAAGAAGCGTCATCAACTGATTTAATCTAGTGAATTCATGAACATATACACAAAGAACAACATATTCATAAAAAGAGAAGAAAAAAGAAGCATTAACTAAAAAACTGACATGGAAAATCTCCACTTCAAATGGCCACTTCTTAAACTCTTTGTACGCGTACGGAGTGACCCTACTCTGCACAATAAGTATGAGCCGTTTGAAAATTTGCGTACCCTCGTTCTGGGTATATATGAGACCCACGTTTCCTTTTCTTATGACATCGGTTCCCGCAAACATGACGTGCACCTGCAGAGAAGACCAAAACGTCGTCGTTGACGAAAGTGTAATAAGGATTAAGGAACAGTATAGTTGTAGTAGTAATAAAATAAGGTTAAGGTTTGGTTTGTAACAGCGATCGACCGTGTTGTTGGGATGAGAGCGATGCGAAGCGCAGAAAGCGAGGGTTCGAGGGTTGGGATGTTGGCCGAAGCGAGAGCGGAATTCGTCGAGGGTGGGAGCGAGGTTGGCGTGCTGAACGACGTCGTAGCCTCTGTCTTCAAGCATCTCCAGCACCGTTCGCCGACTCTCGAAGTATTCAGAGCTTTCGGCGCTTCCTCTGTCTATCAAACTCTGCACGTATTCCATTCTCGCGTTCGTTGCGATCTCCAAATGCAAATGCAAATGCAAATGCAAATTCTGGTTTTCTTTTGTGGTGAGGCCAACGTGAAAGAGGACGACGTGACGTCACTCTCTCGCTCTTGTCTTTCTTACGTGGGTCAATACTAAATCATATTTTACGTTTTTATATGTAGTTCACATTTTCCACACCAATTTTATTATTTACTAGCCATGAAAAAGGTAATTCATCCCTGTGTCAAAAAAATTAATTATTTTTTAAATCAATTAGTAGTTACTAATTTTTTATAAGATAATTATTGTTTTTTATATCTATTTTTAATTTTACTCTTAGATATATTAGTGAAAAAAATAAAGATTTAGCTATTTTTTTAAAAGTGGACATGAAAGAAATATCTTCTTTATATATGGCTATAAATTAAATATTAAATAATTTTATATACTATGTGTATATTTACGAGTATTTAAAAATTAAAAAGTAAATTTAAATTATACGAAATATAATTTTTTTATTATATTATAATAATTGACTTATTATGTTAATAAATTTTATGATCACATGTAATTTTAGTATTTATTCAAGAAAATTACATTTTAGTGATCTTATATAATACATTTTTTATTACTATCATATTTTGTAATTTTTATGAGAAATTTAAAAGACATACCAAGATCTAGCTATTAAACAATTCAAAATCTTTCATTATAAGTAATTTTCTATTATCTTACTTTCTTTGTTTTGTCTCTATGATGATGTTGGTTTCTCTTTAATTAATTCTTGACAATTTTTTTAGTTTTCACAATTTTTTCCATGAATTTTTTTTAAGATACATAAAAAATCAAAAGAAACCTTGAGAAAGAAAAAGAGGTTATGCTTTTATAAATAACCAACTATAAATTTTATACCTTTTTTTCTTCAATTTTTCTTCTTTAAATCCAAAACTACTTTTAGTGAATCGAGAAGGAATAGAATTAGTTTTAATAACTTCAAAATAATCTCTAATAACTCTTAATATATTTTAAATTTAATAATCATCATATTAAACATTTTTAATAAAAGTTATTCTTTAATTATATAAATTATTATTAGATTAAATAATCTAATAACTTATTTCTTTAAAATTTATTTAAAAAATATTTCATCTTAAAATAAAAATAAAAAATATAATATTTAACGGAGCCCACCTATATAACAGTTTATTTATTTTCAGTTATATTGCGGGTAGTACCTGAGATACATTTAATAAGCTCAACATCTAAATATTTCGATTGGATTTAAGCTTTTGTATTCAAATATGAGTTAATTATCTAGACATTGTTAGTGTAAAGTTTTTTACATTAACAATCAATTATATTTTTTAAATTATTTTATTTTTGTACTTGTTTGAGGGTACACTCGTAATCTTCAGGTGGATAGAGGGCCGAACGGGAGCTCCAGGTGGATACTTCAGAGGGGGGAGGTACCTGCAAAAGGCACTCCGACGCTCAAGTCAGGACAAGCACGAATCTCTAGGGTAAATAATTGAACAGTGACATACCTCGTTACGTGTGACCTATTTATAATACCTGACGTGGGCCTGAACATGATGGGCCTTCTCTAACGCTTACCAAATTAGGTAATACGATGTTAATCGGCAGGTTATGCCTTAATTGTGCTTTGTCCTTTGTTAATCACGATCATCATTCTAATTATTCTCTGTTGACCTTCGGCCGAGCCGATACCGACGGCTGAGACGTCATCTCCGGCCGAGCCGATAGGGGATGGATGCGGTTCTCAGTCCCTTACCGAGTTGGAGTGATATCTGAGCTGTGTCGATATATGATAAGATATTACGTGCCGATCCACGTGGCCGATTGCTGAGCGGAAGTGATCTGAGTTGCGTCAATATATGATAGGATATGACGTGCCGGTCCACGTGGCCGATCCACGTGGCCAATAGGATCCTTCCGGTACACAAGCCCCCCAGCCTTAAGGAGTGAAACGACGCAAAGGGTAGAAATGGTCTTGTGATAGTGACGGTTGGGTATGAGTGTAGAATTGTAACCGTTGGGTAATAATGACGGGGATTTGAAAGGTTGTGGCTCGTGGATCGTTGGATCAATTTGATCCAACGGTTCCCAAGGGATGTGACGGTTCATATGCGCTTCCAGAAAGCACTATAAATAGGCGTGGTGGGGACCAACATTGATGTGTCTACTGGTTATAGCTTGCATTTGCTCCGAGCTGACGTAGGGACCACGTTTGAGCGCTTGTTGTCAACTCAGATCGACTTCGCGAAAAGGTACGTTTCAATGGCTGATGTTGAGATAGATGTAGATGATAGGGTGTCTCAGGTCGGCTCCGCTAGGGATAGCAGTTCAGGTTCTACCGGCACGGGTTCTCGTGGGCCGGTGGAGCACGGCATGTCGGCGTCAGCGTCGAATAGGTCGGCTAGTGTGGAAATCGTTGAGAGGTTTGAGCCTTCACAGAGTGTGGAGGAGGCTTCTTCTCTCGAAGTGAGTGAAGGTCGACCGTCTACTCGAAGAGTTGGTTCGGCCTCTCGTAGCTTTGGCCCTATAGAAGTCCCTAGTTATAGATGGGTGCATGGAGAAGTGGGCAGCATTTTTTCGCGTTATACGGATAAGGGTTCGATCGCGCTGTTGTTCGATGCCGAGAACTTCATTACGCTTCCGGAAGATGAGGTGCCGTTCGGTTTCTTTTTCGAACCATGCCGAAATGACGGCTCATGGGAATCGGATTTCGTCTTCCTTGGATGAGAGAGGTGTAAATACAATTTCTTCTATGTATATGACTACCTGTTCAGGGATCTGGGGGTTACTCTCCCTTTTGACAAATTTTTTGTTGGGGTGCTCCGGTTACTGAACATGGCGTCGACTCAACTCCACCCCAATAGCTGGGTCGCGATGCAAGGGTTTTGGCAGTTGTGCGTAGCACTTGGTATTGAGCCGACGCCGAACCTCTTCTTGTACCATTACGCCTCTCGGCCAACGAGGAAGACTAAGTGGCTATCTCTGTTTCGAGGGGATAACTGCTTACTCCAACCATTCACGGATTCCTACAAAAGATTTAAAGTAGGGTTCTTCAAGGTTATGATTCGGCCTGCTAACGGCAACAAGTATTTCTTTGAAGCCGAAGGGAGGCCGTTATTCTCGCTGTATTGGACTCGAGCGCCGAGGAAATATGATGTGTCCAAGCCTAAGATGTCTTCAGAGGAACGAGTTGATCTGAGCATCTTGGAGAAGTTACCCCGGCCGCTGCCTTGCCGAGAGCTTCTTCGGTTGATGAAGTCTACGCGTCCGCTTGATGATTTAATTGGTATAGCATCTGTCTTATGTTTGAATTCATGTGTTATCATTGATTTTGACTAATTTGTGTGCAGATATCATGACGAGCTGCGGGAGCGACGATTTGGATATTCGCAACCTGATCCGTGGTCGAGCGCCTATGCCGGTGCCGACTGGTCATGGAGATAACCGAGCGTCGGCCCGTGAAACGGCCCGACCACAGTCGAAACTGAAGGACAAGGCTGCTCAGGATGTCCAGAAGGCGAAGGCGGCTAAGAGGAAGGCGGACGAAGCGAGGGCCGAGGCCGAGGCGCGGAAGCAAAGACAAATGTTGCCTGTGCTCGTGCCTCCACAAGGGCTTATGAGTCAAAAAAATTTGGCGTCGAATGTCAGTGCTCAAGACTATTTTAGTCAAGACTTGACCTTGGAGGTAGGGAAACATATGCTGGGCCAGATGAGTGCGGCCCATAAGTGGACCTTTTTCTGCGAGTTCCAAGCTCGTTCCCTGGCCTTGGCTCAGAATCTTATAATGCAGCCGAGTGCCGAGGTCGAGGAGCTGCGTCTAAAGCTTCTTGAGTCTGAGAAGTCTGTTCAAGAGGCTTTGGCAGCTCTATCTGAGGTGCAATCGAACGGGAAGAAGTTCGAGGCCGAGATGGTCCGCCGTGGCCGTCAAAATGATGATCTAATGCTGCAAGTGCAACGATTGGAGAATTTTTTGAAGGCCGAGGCCGAGGCCGAGAAGTCTGCTGCGCTGGCCGGCAAGTTAGAAGCTGAGAAGAAATCCTATGGGGCATACCGAGAGAGGGCTCGGCGCAAGGTTCTCTCGCAGCATGAAGCCGATTTTTCCCAGGCGGCACGGCAGGCCCGTCATTTTGGAAGTCTGCCTTCGAACTTCGAGTTTGACATGTCTATGGATTTCTATCGGGGGAACTATGTCAACCTTACCCAAATCCCCCCGAATGAGCAGCCGGATGTTGAAGCGCCTGTTCGCCACCAGGCCGGGCCGAGTGGAAAAGACAAGGTGCAGGCGAAAGTGGCCGAGCAGGAGGCGCCGGCCCAAGGGGAGCCCGAAGCACAGGCTTAGGGTTATTTTTAAATCTTGTATGCAAGGGCCGAGAGAGCCCCTTTAATCTTTTGTAATTATGGGCCGGTAGTGCCCTTTTCTTTTCAATGCAATTTTGTTTCTCGTCAAATATAACATATTCCAAACGATCGTTAATGTAGTAAATCAAATCGTGCCGAGTGTAGGTTAGTTTATACGAACATGTGTCCGGGTTGAAGGAGAATCTCGGAGGGAGACTTTAAAATAAACCCATATCCTTGGCCGAGAGGAGTCTCGGGAGGGAAGACTTGGTTGAAAAGCCACATCCTTGGCCGAGAGGAATCTCGGGAGGGAAGACTTGGTTGAAAAGCCACGTCCTTGGCCAAGAGGAATCTCGGGAGGGAATACTTGGTTGAAAAGCCACATCCTTGGCCAAGAGGAATCTCGGGAGGGAAGACTTGGTTGAAAAACCACGTCCTTGGCCAAGAGGAATCTCGGGAGGGAAGACTTGGTTGAAAAGCCACATCCTTGGCCGAGAGGAATCTCGGGAGGGAAGACTTGGTTGAAAAGCCACATCCTTGGCCGAGAGGAATCTCGGGAGGGAAGACTTGGTTGAAAAGCCACATCCTTGGCCGAGAGGAATCTCGGGAGGGAAGACTTGGTTGAAAAGCCACATCCTTGG